CGGCCGCCGCCGCCGCCGCCGCCGCCTTCTCGAGCCCCAGCCGCCCCGGCCCGACATGAGTGAGGCGGCTCGGGATCCCTCGCCCGGAGCGCTGCCAGCGGTGGCCGCGGCCGCCTCAGAGGAGAGGAAGGGGAAAGAGCCGGAGCGCGAGAAGCTGCCGCCCATCGTGACGGCCGGCGCAGCCGCGGTAGGTGCGGCGGGGGCCGAGGGTCGCCCGGGGCGGCCTGGACAGGGGGCACCGGGGGAGGTCGCGCCTCCTGGGGACCCTTGGCAGCCGCGCCTTCCATGCTCGAGTGTCCGCTGCCCCGTGCTGGGCGTTTGCTTCCTGTCTGGGGTCTGGCTCCCTACTTTCTCCAAAGGGTCGGGCATCGTGTGTTGGACGAGCGTAGATGTCAGGCAGTAGGTTTTCACTGAGGTGGAAAACCTGCCTTGGGGGCGGCGAGGCAGCGCTTCTCTCCTCTCCGCTTTTTCTGCCCTTTCTCCCTTCAGACTCCCGAGGCGACTTTCCACCTAATTCTGACCTTTCCGTTGCTATCAGGGTAGTGGGAGGTAGATGCATCCTTTATTTTTCATATGATACAGACATGTGACTTAAAGGAGAGAGGCTTTTTCTTCCTTTAAAACTCAGTTATCTAAGCTTAGCAGGGGTAATTTCCCAGATGGATTTTGCAAGGGTTATTTGGAAGGCGCTCCCAGCCTTCAAACTCCATCCTGCCAAATGATGTCATGGGACATCATCCCCCCTCTCCCTTCCCCCTGTTTGTACTGGTGGCTTAAGTCTGGTTGCTTAAAATTAACTTCTGGTTTTGACATTTTTATTTGACGTACTATTTTTTAAATACTTTGGGTAAGTTTGCTTTCATGTATTTAAAGATTATGACTTGTCACACATCTGTACGTGATAAAATAGTAAAAGTTCACGGAATATTATACATTTTAATAATTTCTACTTGTAATTAGTTTCTTGAAGCAATCCTCCTAAGTGACTAAGAACTTACTAAAATAGCTCACTCTTTACAGAGTATTAGTATCAGAATAGTTGTTATGATTTGATAGGTTTTTCAAAACTGTCTAAAGCCTGTAATAACTGGAAATTGTTAAAGACAACTCTTTTATGCTAAGTCAGTGCAGCAAATCGTGGACAGCACACGTTTAAGAGCGTAGCTGATTGGTAAATTGTATCTGTGGTTAGGGATTACCTTGGGAAATGCTTGGAAGCAATTTGTCATTCAAATTATGGTCTGCTGGTGCCCCGGTTTTCAGAGCTAATTATGTAGGACTTTTTAAGGCCAATGTGTTTTTCGTGTTTGTTTATTCTTCAAGTCTCTGTGTATGTATGTGGTGTGTGGATACGTGTGAGTGTGGGTGTACCTGTGTGGATGTCAGAGGAAAACCTCTGAGGTCAGTCCTCACCTTTGAACTTATTTGAGACAAAGTCTCGTTTCTGGATCTTCATAAGCCAGGTTTCCAAGAATCTCTTATCCCTGCTTCTTATCCATCTATAGGAGCATTAGGGTTACGGATGCACATCAATGAACCTCTTTGCATGGGTTCTGAAGATATGAACTCAGATCCACACACATGGGGCCAAGTGCTTTTTTTTTACCTGTTGAGCCATCTCCCCATCCTCACAACAGTTTTTTCCTAGGGTGGTTAAGAAGGAAAAAATGTATTTGCTTTTAGAAGCAATTATATGAATGAGTTTACTTTCTAAGGGCAAGCACCTTTCCATAATCGTGTGTGTGTGTGTGTGTGTGTGTGTGTGTGTGTGTGTGTGTGTGTGATCAGTGTAACAAAAGGAGGTTTGGAATTTTAAAGTTACAGAAGTTGATACAGTGTGCATGTAAATCTAACATCTGTTATCTGAACCCCATAGGTCTTTGTGAGTTCAAGTTTTTCAGATTTTGAAGAAAGCAATTAAGTAAATATACCACATGCAATACCTACACTACAGTCCTGACCAGTTTCCCAGCATCAGTCATATTTAAAACTGTAGAAAATGTACTGTCTGGTCACACTAAATAGAATAAGGTTAAAAAATTGTCTCGTGTCATTTTAAGTCAGATTCACATTTTGCTACCAAACGAATTGCAAAGACATTTGTTTTAGGATTGTGGACTAGTCAAAAAGACTACAGGTCAAGAATTTAAAATTTTTTTTAAACATAGGGGAAAACAACTGTTTGGAAGAGCAAAGTTGGGATTATTCTGAGGCAGTTTCTTTGGTGTCTTAAAATGTCTTTCAACATTGGTATTGCTGTTACATTTTTAAATGGCACTTTAAGAGAACAATGTAAGTATGCATGTATATTCGTCAAGGAGATGTTCAGAGCTGAAAATTTGAGGTATCACAATAAAAGGCCTGAGAAAAAAGTATGCTGACTTCTGAAGATCAGGAAAGCGGGGGCAACTGGGATGATGGGATTCTCCAGTGGGGTGGAGAAGGCTGGATGGAATATGATGGACAGGGAAAGACAGTTTGTTACCTCTTAGGTTGTTTTCAAACCCCGTCTGGGTTAAGCAGAACTCAGGGTTTGTTTATTAACCTAACTGACATCAATAACTTTGGGGGCCTTGTATTGATTCTTCCGGTTTTGCCCAAATTAATGGCTTCGTCTTTCCAAGTTGAGTTTGTTTCAATTCAAGTAGCCCTGTAATCATGGCTTTTTCAGAAAATTAGTGTTCCATGGTTATGACAGTGTGGAAACAAATAAGACTGACAGCTCACTAAAATAGAGGGTGGATTATGCTGATTCTAAGTAAGGCTAAAAAGTTTAAGCTGTATTCTGAAGGCTTAAAGAGGGATGCCATGATGGGACAAAGCATGCTAGAAATTGATAAATCCTGAGACTGCTTCTGAGCCAAATTTCATTCAGAAATCCTGACACAGTTCTCAAGCTAGACAGACCATAGAGTTACTTTGGTAGGATGTTGAGGTCCTGACTCACATCCCACCCTAAGACACCAGTTTTCAATATTTGATGCACACTAAAATCACCTGGGAAACATTATGAAGGCCCAAATACAAGCTCTTTAAATCAGAATTGCTGAGAACAGAGACTATTAGATTCCTTGGTATAACTAAGCAAAAACCAATGCTGTGTATACTGAATTAAAAGGTCTATGAGCACAGCTCAGCAATCCCTGTTTTAAAACTACACCCTCATCCCAAGTATATTTAGGAATAGCTGTTAAAATGGTTTTGTGGGAAAAAAAAATGGTTTTGTGAGAGATGTTAGGGGGAGGAATACTGAAAGGAATGGCTGTTGGAGTAGCTCAGAGAGAGATGCTCAAGAAGCCTTGAACAGAGCCCTCAGAGCACTATTCCTGTTGAGACTTGGCCTTATGCTGAAGAGGAGGCACAAATCCAGAGCTGAGGCCAGTAACAAATTTGAAGTTGTGAAGGGCTGCTGATGGAAATACCGAATTCACAAGGCTACAGATTGAAGTGGAGACAAATATCATAAATTAGTTACTGCTTTAATACAAATGTCAAAAAAAAAAAAAACCTGAAAACTGAAGGAGAAAATACTCAAAGGACAGGCAGAACTAACTGTGGCAGGTGGGAACAAGTTTTATCCTTCTTCAATGTTTAATGAGCTGAACAGGAAAGAGAGATTCTCCATGGGATGGGATATACCAAGGAACAAAATGGATTCAAGAGAGATAATTTTTATATAACCTGGGGGTGGGGTGAAGATAAATCAGTTTAGTTTCTCTCTTTCTCTCCTTATCTATGTCTCTCTCTCTCTCTCTCTCTCTCTCTCTCTTTCTCTCTCTCTTTTTCTCTGTGTGTGTGTGTGTGTGCGCGCGCGTGTCTTGCAGGGAATCAAATACGGGGCTTTATGCACATACTTTCTGCATCTACATCCCTAGTTTAGAATTTCAAAGAGACGTTTGCCCACAAATAGAAGATTAGGAACTGTGTCAAATAACAAATTGAAGGTAGGAAAAGAGTTTGAGGGGAACACAAGCTGTGGAGGACATGAGTGACAAGTTTGTGCTGTGAAATAATGGGGTTGCTAGAACCTCTGGACCAAGGTGGAACTAGCAGTCGCTGAAGATGTGTTAGGCTTAGCTTTGCACTAACTGCTGCAGAAAACACAGACAAGGCTTAACTAGAATGCCCTACCTCAGGTAATTTGGGGCTAATAGATAAAGAACAAATCAGTATTTAAAAGCCACAATAAGCTACAGAAACAGTTTACAGTATAGGAAATCAGTGTGCAAAGAACTGTGAAGAAAGGCCTTGAAGTAAAGGTAATCATTTAAGCTGGCTGGCCATTGAAGGAATGACAGGATCTGGATGAGCAGAAGAAAATATGCAAAGTAAACAGTGGGTAAAATAACACGAGAAGCCTTAAAGGGAAAAATTAGAGAACAGTAAATCAAGCCCAGTGGAAGCATGCTGGGGACTTGTGGGAGGTATGTAAGGGTGCGTAGGGACTAGAGAAGTTTGGACGTTTCCCCTGTGGTTAGTGGAGAGCTTTTGGAATTCCTTGAATAGAGGAGCAACATAATGAAATTCCTGGTAGTGTATAGTTAAACTGGAGGAAGTAGGAGGAAGAAAGTGAAAGAAGGAGGGTTGTGGTTCATGATTGAGATGGTGAGCACATCCATTGGGGTGGTGACTACAGAATAAACTGTGTAGGGTAGAGGAATCTACACAATGTGGAGTGGAGGGAGCGGAAGTGAAGCATAAGAAAGATTAATGAGGGAAAAAAATACTTCGTTTTCCAGAGAAAGTTTCTCAGAAGAAGAAAAAAGGCACATAAAAAAAGCAGTTCAGCCAGTAACATTACAAAAGTGTGTGTGTATACTTACCTAACTATGCACAGCTAAGCATTTGGAACAGTCTTACATATGGAAACTCTTGTGCCCTTTGTATATTATATTGTAAATGAGGTAGTGTACAGAGAAAATAAAATGTTGGTGAAAGTATGTAATTTAATAAACTAAAGATTTTTTTAAAAATACATATGACCTGGCTTGGTGGTCCATGCTTCAGCCTAGCACTTTCAGGAAAAAGAAGTAGACCAGTTTCTTGAGTTCTGGAACAGTTGGCACTACATAGTGAGTCTGTTTGTCTGTCTGTCTCTCTCTCTCAAAAAAGTATATGTATATAACAAGTAACAACCATTGAGTACATACTCTGCACTATGCATTTTTCATGTACCACGTGTCATTT